TTGTACTAATTCACTTTTTTGGGGGGCACCGGAATGTGGGCAGCTCTGCCTGGGGGTGTCCTGTGAGGCTGCAGCTGGGGCTGACTTTATCTGAAGGCTTGACCAGGTTGGATGTCCAGGATGGCTTTCTCTGGTGGTAGGAAGCTGGTACAGCCTGTCACCTGGGCTCAGCTGGGAGGGCCAACAAGAACAGGTACCTGTGGCCTCTCCAGTGTGTCAGGCTGAAGGTGCTCAGGCCTCTTAAACCAAAGCTGGCTCCTCCCAGACTCAGCATTCCCAAGAACGAAGCAGGGGGCACGTGACCTTATTGACCCAACTTTGGAAGTCATACAGTGTTTACACCACTGTGGCAGTCTACGAAAGAATTAACAAGAAAGTTAATGAGCATGACCGAGATTCAAGGGAGGGGGCATACACTCCAGCTCCCAAAGAGACGACTGTCAAAAGAATCTTCAGGCCTGCTTTATAGCCCCCCGAAGCTGCCTTTCAAAATGATGCATGCATAAGCCAGGTGTTCACGATGAGCTCGTCTCTCCTAAGCTGGGAATTTATGACACTTCAGGCACAGATTGAGCTGTGTGTCTCCAGATCCTTCACATCAAATAAAATATGAGGAAAATGGCATTGTGAAAGATGTTTATAGTTCATCAAAATGCAAAGCTTCCCGTCCGCCCACAGCAACCTATTCTGGTGTTTTTGTTTTTTTGTTGTTGGTTTTTGTTTGTTTGTTTTTGAGACAGAGTCTCATTCGGTCGCCCAGGCTGGAGTGCAGTGGTGCGATCTCGGCTCACTGCAAACTCTGCCTCCCAGGTTCAGGTGATTCTCCTGCCTCAGCCTCCCGAGTAGCTGGGATTACAGGCACCCGCCATCGTGCCCGGCTATTTTTTTTTTTTTTTTTTTTTGGTATTTTTAGTAGAGACAGGGTTTCACCATGTTGGCCAAGCTGGTCTCGAACTCCTGACCTCAAGTGATCTGCCTGCTTTGCCCTCCGAAAGTGCTGGGAGGATCACAGGCATGACCCACGGGGCCGGGCTTTTTTTCTGGATAGCTCCTAAGGTGAGCTCTGACATGCTTCTCAGAGGCGTTTTGTTAGATGGGCTTTGAGGACTGTAGGAGTGTCGAATGTTTAATACACGTGTCTTGTGACTGATTGATGCTGGACCCCTCCCGGTTGGTTTATACTCCTGATGTTTTACGGGCAGAAGCGCAGGGAATAAGTTCTCCATATGCTGGAAGTTGTTGTTTTTTTTGAGAGCTAGATATTCACGTAGGAGGGGAGAAGCCCTGCGTCTGGCTGGAAGGTGTGTGCAGGTGAGAAGCAAGGGCTGCACCTGAACTGTCTGCGCATTTCTCCGAGAATTTCGGCAGGCCCCAGGCCCGGAATGGCCCGGCGCTCCCCCTCCCCTGCCACCATGCTCTGTGAAAGCAGGTCCAGAATTTATTCCTTCTGGTGGGCTCTCGGTCTGGCTGACTTCAGGAGTGAGGCCGCAGCCCTTCACAGTGAGTGCTACAGCTCATAAAGGTAGTGCGGACCCAAAGAGAGAGCAGCAGCAGGATTTATTGTGAAGAGGGAAAGAACAAAGCTTCCAGGCCGTGGCAGGCGACATGGGTTGCCGCTGCCCTCTCCGGGGGTCGTCTTTTAGTTCCTTATTTGGCCCCGCCCACGTCCCGCTGATTGGTCCATTTTACAGAGCGCTGATTGGTCCATTTTACAGAGCGCTGATTGGTCCATTTTACAGAGCGCTGATTGGTCCATTTTACAGAAGCGCTGATTGGTCCATTTTACAGAGCGCTGATTGGTCCATTTTACAGAGCGCTGATTGGTCCATTTTACAGAGCGCTGATTGGTCCATTTTACACAGCGCTGATTGGTCCATTTTACAGAGCGCTGATTGGTGCATTTACACTCCTTTAGCTAGACAGAAAAGTTCTCCAAGTCCCCACTGGACCCAGGAAGTCCAGCTGGCTTCACTTCCCCAAAGCAGCAATCGACCTCCATCCACGTTTACTTTTTATTTTCCCCTTGCTGTACCCAAAGCGCTATACTCGCACTGTGGAGGCTATAGCCAGAATAAGACGTGGGTTTTTCCTCAAGGACCTCACAGTTGTCAAGCCTCCACTGGGGCCGGGGACGTGTAAAGCCGTGGGACCCCCTGCTGCGTCTTCCGTGGGCCCTCCGTGCCATGGAGCATCCAGTGCGGACCGTGCATCCAAAGTTTTGAAAGGCGGGTTCCAGAGGCTGTAAAACAGGCCTGCAGATTCTTTTCCCACTCGTCTCTCTGGGAGCTGGAGCCCCTGCTCCCTCTCTTGAATCTCGGCTGTCCTCATTAACTGTCTTGTAATTCCTAGAATGGGGCAGCGGTGGCAACTCTGTAGGTCTTCCCAAGTCGGGTGGATAAGGCCACGTGGCTCCTGCTTGGTTCTTGGGAATGCTGAGTCTGGGAGGAGCCAGCTTTGGTTTTAAGTGTTCGTAAAATACAACTGGAAAGATTGTGTGCACAAACACAGGCATGTACACAAATGCACACACATCAGAGAATTCATAGGGAAATGGGTCCATGTACAGAGGCACAGATTCGTACGGATATTACAATACACACAAAAGCAAGCACATACACAAATGCATATACCTCAAAAAATGCATACACCTGGAGATACACCTCTACATATACAAACACATAGAGAAATACTAGACCTGCATATATGTATAGATAGCTCCATATGAAATACACAAACATAAGCACATATACAAATGTATATGCATAGAAGATGATGTACACTATGCAGATGTACGTATACAAATACTTAGAGAAATACTAGACCTACATATATGTAAAGATAGCACCATGTAAAATACACGCAAACACAAGCACATATACAAATGCCTGTGCATAGAAAAATATGTACACATGCAGATGCAAACACATAGATATACAAATAGAGTAACAGATCTACAAATATCAATATAGCTCCATATTGAAATACATCTTTGAACACAAACACGTGTCCATATGCAAATGGATTTGTGTGTGTGTATATTAATCATACACCTCAAATGCATTTGCAAATGCAAATGTGTTCACAAATGCAAAAACTGGGATTCCACAGATCAATCAAAGTGCATGTTCATGCATGCAGTACATGTAGATGTTCCAATGTACAAATAATGACAAACGTGTGTATGTAGGTATATGAGCATATGCAAATACTTGCAATCATACAATTCCAAATAGAAGCATGTAATATATACATACACTATATGCAGATACACATGCAAAGATGTAAATGTGTATGTACCTGTATACACATGGGAATAAATGTGGACACATGCAAACTCATATGCACATGTGCATACAACGTATGTAAAATAAAATGTGCACAAATTTATAGGCATTTGAAAATTCACATCTGCATGTAAAGACGTGAACACATATATGTATATGCTAACATCTCTATATGTATATATCTTTGAATTGTGCATATATGCAGTTATATACCCAAGTGTATACCTATATAAACACATACACAAATACATATGCATATATATGTATATGAATATATGTGCCTGTGTTTGCATGTACAGTTTACGTGTAGATACACACAGAATTCCAGGTACATATATAACGTGCCTGTGTATACACATCTACATTATCCATGTACGTATAAATACATATACACATTGGCATTAATACCCAAGTGAGCTGGTCTGCTATAAGTACAAGACAATATAGTTCGTGTGTGTTTCTAGGACAAGTGACGTTTGAGGTCAGGCCCCCACAGCAAGGACTTGGGAGCAGGCACTCAACTGGGCTTGGCCTGACAGGGGTGGGGGTGTTCTGTGCCTGGGAGATAGAACGTGTCAAGCACAGAACCTGCCGTGATGATGATGTTTATAGAATCGTGACCGAAAGGGCTGCCCTGTGCTCTAGGGGTGAGGACAGGCCATGTTTATACTGAGGTCAGCATTTCTCAAAGGACATCTGAGCAATTTGTTTGTGGGACACTCAGTGAAGAGGGGGTGCCATAGCAGCTATTCTTGTCCAGAATTCTTTTGTGGGGGGCCCAGGAAGGGGGACAGGATCTCTGTTGCCCAGGCTGGGGTGCAATGGCACTATCTCAGCTCACTGCAACCTCCGCCTCTTGGCCTCAAGCAATCCTCCCGCCTCAGCCTCCCCAAGTAGCTGGGACTCCAGGCACGCACCACCCCACCCAGCTATTTTTTTTTATTTTTGGTAAAGATAGGGTTTCACTGCGGTGCCCAGGCTGATCTCAAACTCCTGACCTCAAGCGATCTGCCCTACTCACCTACCCAAAGACTGGGATTACATGTACGAGCCACCGCATCCGGCCACCCAGAATAATTAATTGTCCAGGGCACCCCCTTTGGTGACTTAGAAGATTCTCACTCTCTTGTGTATGTTGCTGTGTTATCATTATGGTTATTATTTTTCTTTCTTTTTTTTTTTTTTGAGACAGAGTCTCGCTCTGTCGCCAGGCTAGAGTGCAGTGGCGTGATCTCTGCTCACTGTAACCTCCACTTCCCGGGTTCAAGCCATTCTCCTGCCTCAGCCTCTCAAGTAGCTGGGATTACGGGCACTTGCCACGATGCTTGGCTAATTTTGTATTTTTTTGGTAGAGACAGGGTTTCACCATGTTGGCCAGGATGGTCTTGAACTCCTGACCTCAGGTGATCCACCCGCCCCGGCCTCCCAAAGTGCTGGGATGACAGGCATGAGCCACCGCACCCCGCTTGTGGTTATTTTTAAAGTCAAGGCACAGAGGTGCAGAGACAGAAGGCAGGAAGGGACTTCAGTGGTCTTCTAGAATCTTCCCCACCACACCTAAAGCAGGAGACAGAGACCCAGGAGGAAGACATGGCCGCCAGCTCTACACCCCACCCTCCAATGTCCTGGGCCATTTGCACATCCCAGGAGTCCGTTTGTGAGATTTCTCCACTGTCTTCCCCAATCTAACTCCTTCTGATATTCTCTTTTGTCCAGCTGGGGTGATGATGGTCCCTCAGAGGAAAACCAGAGATGGATTCGAAGAACATTTCGGCCTGAACTACCTGGGGCACTTCCTGCTGACCAACCTTCTCCTGGATACGCTGAGAGAGTCCGGGTCCCCTGGCCACAGTGCGAGGGTGGTCACCGTCTCCTCCGCCACCCATTACGTCGCTGAGCTGAACATGGACGACCTTCAGAGCAGGTGGGTGCACCCTGTGAATAATCATAACAGCGTCCCAGGTGGGTTAAAGGTTACTCATCTCCCTCTGTCTGTGGGGCGTGGTGCGCCCTGCGTCTGCTGGACACCGGTGCTCTGGGGACAGTGCTTCCTGCATCTGCTGTGCACTGGTGCTCTGGGGACAGTGCTCCCTGCGTCTGCTGGACACTGGTGCTCTGGGGACAGTGCTCCCTGCGTCTGCTGTGCACTGGTGCTCTGGGAGCGTGGACAGTGCTCCCTGCGTCTGCTGAGCACTGGTGCTCTGGGAGCGTGGACAGTGCTCCCTGCGTCTGCTGGACACTGGTGCTCTGGGGACAGTGCTCCCTGCATCTGCTGAGTACTGGTGCTCTGGGACCACAAACAACAAGGATCGCGCCGCCTGCGTCTGCTGGACACTGGCTGCTCCTGCCGCGGCGACGGTGCTCACTGCTCTGCTAGTCTGTTGTCTGGGGAACCAGTGCGCCCTGGCGTCTGCTGGACCACTGGTGCTACTGGGGATAGTGCCCTCCGGCATCTGCTGGCTGGGTGTCTGGGGACCCTGCTCCTGCGTCTGCTGGACATGTTTATGCTGGGGAAACAGTGCTTCCTGCGCTGCTGGGACCATGGTCGCCTTGGGGGACCGCTGCTCCCTCTGATGTCTGCCCTCTACCGAGCGTCTGGTGCTTCTTGGGGAAGTGGCTCCTGCGTCTCTGGGACACTGGTCTCTGGGAACAGTGCTCCCTGTTGTCTCGCTGAGCCATACTCCGCGCTCTGGGGGGCCCTACCAGCGCTGCTCCCTGCGTCTGCTCGGGCCACTGGGTGGCTTGGGCGAACCCCACAGTGCTCCTGGAGATCTGTCGACGTATTGGTGCGCTCTGGCGACGTGGCTCCCTGCGTACTGCTGCGCCGTGGTATACCTGGGGGACAGTGTTCCCTGTGTCTGCCTGATACCTGGTGCCTCTGGGGACGTGGGCTTCCTCCCGCGTCTGTAGACACTAGTTGCTCCTGGGGATAGTGGCGCCGCTGCCGTCTGGCTGGACACTGGGTGCACTGTGTCTGGGGGACAGTGCTCCTGCCGTCTGCTGTGCCTGGGTGACTGGGGAATGTGCTCACTGCGTCTGACTGAGCACTGGTGCTCTGGGGACAGTGCTCCCTGCGTCTGCTGAGCACTGGTGCTCTGGGGACAGTGCTCTCTGCGTCTACTGGGCGTGGGTGCTCTGGGAACAGTGCTCCCTGCATCTCCTGAGCATCGTGCTCTGGGTACAGTGCTCCTTGTATCTGCTGGGCACAGGTGCTCTGGGCACAGTGCTCTCTGTGTCTGCTGGGCACTGATGCTCTGGGCACGGTACTCCCTGCATCTACTGGGCACTGGGGCTCTGGGGCCAGTGCTCCCTGAATCTGCTGGGCACAGGTGCTCTGGGCATGGTGCTCTCTGCATCTGCTGGGACACAGGTGCTCTGGGTACACTCCTCCCTGTGTCTGCTGGGCACTGGGGCTCTGGACGCAGTACTCTCTGCATCTGCTGGACACAGGTGCTCTGGAAATGGTGCTCCCTGCATCTGCTGGGCACTGGGGCTCTGGGCGCAGTGCTCTGGGATACATACACCCCCAGCCATTTGCTGTCCTTGGTCGACTTAGCAATGTGCCATAGTATTGTTATTTTAGTGTTTAGAAGGGCCAAGAAACACAGAGGTCAGACATAGAAAAGGAGAACAGATATATTTAAACCTTCCGTTGTGCCCCCCATGGGAATGTCAGGCACTACATTTGCAGGCGGCATTGGTGTGGACTCCTGTTGAGACACGCAGTGTACTGTCTGTCCATCAACAGGTCTCTCTTGTGAATTTCTCCTAACCCCGCCCGAGCACGGTGGCTCACACCTGTAATCCCAGCAGTTTGGGAGGCCGAGGCGGGTGGATCACCTGAGGTCAGGAGACCAGCCTGGCCAACATGGTAAAACCCTGTTTCTGCTAAAAATACAAAATTAGCCAGGCGTGGTGGCAGGCGCCTGTAATCCCAGCTACTTGGGAGGCTGAGGAAGGAGAATCGCTTGAACTCGGGAGGTGGAGGTTGTGGTGAGCCAAGATTGCGGCACCGCACTGCAGCCTGAGCCACAACAGCAAAACTCCATCTCAAAAAAAAAAAAAAAAAAAAGAAAAAAATATTCCATAGTCTGGGTGGCTTATAAACAACACACATTTATGTTTCATGGTTCTGGAGGCTGGAAGTCCAAGATCAAAGTGTGCCAGGGTCTGGCGAGAACCCACTTCCTGGTTCACAGGTGGCACCTTCTCACCGTGTCGTCAGGCAGCGGAAGGGGCGAACTGATTCCTTTCTTGAGTCTCCACCATCGTGACCTCATCACCTCCCAAGGGCCTCACCTCCTAACACCATCTCACTGGGGATGAGGCTTTCCATGTAGGAATTTGGAGACGGAGACAGTCAGAGCACACAGTAGGACTTGCCTTTGAATTTCTTTGCAGCCCGAAGGTCACAAAGTGTTAACGCCACAGTCGGAAAGACCTGGCCGCTTGGCCATGCCAGCATCAGATTTTGGGGCCAGCCTCTGGAATGTACAGCAGGGTGGGCGCCCTCCCCATCCCCCGGCCCTGGAGTACCCTCAGGACTGCGAGGAGGTGAGCCCAGGGGCACAGGCCCTGCCGGCTCCTAACACTTTTCATTTCCCTGCACAGTGAGGGGCAGGATGGAAGGAAGGGAGGGCCGTGGGGGCCTCCTAGGATACCTTGGCCCATCTGTTTTGTCAGATTGAGCTCTTGCGCCTGTGAGCCTCTCTGCTGAAGGGTGTCAGATGAGGGAGACGGCCTCGATGGGATCCTGCATAAAGTGTGAACCCTGCCTGTCGTGGGAGGAAAGAAGCGTGGCTGGCCAGAACTTCGTCCTCTCTGGGCAGCTGAGGAAGCCCCGGGCTGTGCAGGGAAGGGCAGGTGAGAGGGTGGCATGGAGAGCAGGGCCTGCGGCCAGGAGGGGCTGCTTCTCCTTCCTAGTGCTCTGAAGAAGCAAGGGCATGTGCGTGTGCCCGTGTGTACAGGTGAGATGTGCGTGCCCATGTGTGCAGGTGAAGTGTGTGTGCCCGTATGTATAGGTGAGGTGCGTGTACCCCTGTGTACGGGTGAGGTGTGCATGCCCGTGTGTACAGGTCAGGTGTGTGTACTCCTGTGTACAGGTGAGGAGTGCATGCCCGTGTGTACAGGTCAGGGTTGTGTACCCCGTGTGTACAGGTTAGGTGTGCGTACCCCTGTGTACGGGTGAGGTGTGCGTGCCCCTGTGTACGGGTGAGGTGTGTGTGCACGTGTGCACAGGTGAGATGTGTGTGCCCGTGTGCGCAGGTGAAGTGTGTGTGCCTGTGTGCACAGGTGAGGTGCGCATGCCCGTGTGTACAGGTCAGGTGTGTGTACCCCTGTGTACGGGTGAGGTGTGCATGCCTGTGTGTACAGGTGAGGTGCGCATGCCCGTGTGCGCAGGTGAAGTGTGTGTGCCCGTATGTACAGGTGAGGTGTGTGTACCCCTGTGTACAGGTGAGGTGGGCATGCCCGTGTGCACAGGTGAGGTGTGCATGCCCGTGTGTACAGGTCAGGTGTGTGTACTCCTGTGTACAGGTGAGGAGTGCATGCCTGTGTGTACAGGTCAGGGTTGTGTACCCCGTGTGTACAGGTGAGGTGTGCGTGCCCGTGTGCACAGGTGAGATGTGTGTGTCCGTGTGTACAGGTGAGGAGTGCATGCCCATGTGTACAGGTGAGGTGTGTGTGCCCGTGTGTACAGGTGAGGTGTGCGTGCCCGTGTGTACAGGTGAGGTGTGCATGCCCGTGTGTACAGGTCAGGTGTGTGTACTCCTGTGTACAGGTGAGGTGTGCATGCCCGTGTGTACAGGTCAGGTGTGCGTGCCCGTGTGTACAGGTGAGGTGTGCATGCCCGTGTGTACAGGTCAGGTGTGTGTACTCCTGTGTACAGGTGAGGTGTGCATGCCCGTGTGTACAGGTCAGGTGTGTGTACTCCTGTGTACAGGTGAGGTGCGCATGCCCGTGTGTACAGGTGAAGTGTGTGTGTGCCCATGTGCACAGATGAGGTGTGTGTACCCCTGTGCACAGGTGAGGTATGTACCAATATGCACAGGTGAGGTGCGTTCATGCCCGTGTGCACAGGTGAGGTGTGTGTGCCCATGTACACAGGTGAGGTGAGTGTGTGCCAGTGTGCACAAGTAAGGTGTGTGTGTGCCCGTGTACACAGGTAAGGTCTGTGTGCACGAGTGAGCTGTGTGCCGGTGTGCACAGGTGAGGTGCATGCCAGTGTGCACAGATAAGGTGCATGAGTGCCCGTGTGCATAGGTGAGTTGTGTGCGTGCCAGTGTGCACAGGTGAGGTGTGTGTGCTGGCTGGGGCGTTTCCTGTTTTCACACCTATGCGTGACAGCACCCAGAGGAAGAAATGCGTGTTTCTCAGGCTGCTTCTCAGCTCAGGACTCTCTGTAGGACCGTGTAGCCCTCCCGCCTCGGGCTCCATGCTGAAAGATTGGCCTGGAACCCACTGGCAAGAACAGCCCTGCCGTGACCGGCTGCCCTAACCCCAGGCCTCAGGCTGGGCTGGGCACGTTGGGGGCCAGGCTTCTGTGACAGCCACTCGGGGCTCCACTGCTGTGTGTGGTGCCTGCCGTACAGGAGGGCAGAAGGGAGGAGGGAACGAGGAGTCTTGGCACAGCCAGCAGCACTTGCTGCAGACGTGACTCACTGAGCAAGGCAAGGCATGGGATGGAGAACCTGGGACATGTGACCTCCTTGGCAGGTGTTGCTGCTCACCAAAGACACCCTTCCTCGTACAGCACTGGCGGAGGGCTGCCCGTCTGTCATTCTGAGAGTACACTTTGGGGTTGATATTGTTTATCAAAGCAATCTCTGTTTTATTCATGTGTTTTTGAGATGGAGTCTCACTCTGTCCCCCAGGCTGGAGTGCAGTGGTGTGATCTCAGCTCACTGCAACCTCCGCCTCCCGGGT